TTAGTTCCTTAATTTGCACTACAAAGGAATACCAAATCCTTTTGTATATTAAAAAAAGTATTTTCTGACATCGTTTGATTTTGATGTGTAACTGCCCGTTATGTTGGCCAAGTTTGTCTTTTAAAATTACAGTAACCAACAAAATATCTTTATATCAAAACAAGGAGAGTATTCAAACATTTTCAGATCAGTTAAGATGCAGGGTGTTTCAGCGAACATGTCCCGAGTTTGCGCTTTCAATAAAAAAAAATTATGGGCATTTCACGAAAATGCGAAGAACAAAACCATACAATTTCATCAGTATGAAAGTTTACGCAAAGCTGGATCATTTATTCTTAAGATCTGTTTCCTAGAAAGACGCATCTTATCTGGGTATTTCTTTTTCAAAATCCTCTTCATCTAGTATCGGAGATGTACTATTTGTAAAGTATAGTATAACATTATTCATATTCATTCAAAACTTTTGATGATGTAATTAAAAACTATGAAGTTATAGTACATGTATATTGTGTTTATATAATAATATATATTGCAAGAAAATGTGTTTTGTCATGTACAAAAATATAGACATTCAAAGTCTCGACATGTTTGTTGAAACACCCTGAATAAAAGGTTAAAATAATGATAGGCCATAACTTTTTTTCATTTCGATACTTTTTGACTTGTAATTTATTCAAGCATAAAATATTCTGAAAACTAAATCCTTCAATTAAAATGCATTTATGTCAGTCAAATATTATATTATACTCGCCGAACCTGATCTGGTCCTTTGTATATTGGACACGCCAAAGGGAAAATATGTTACATCGATCTTATCACCACACACCCTATGACGGGTGTGAAATTCATATTCCCCATTGTCAAAACAGAATTAGTTTTTTGAAGGTTTTTATTTAAAAATAATTGTGTGCAGCTTAAATGCTCTCAAGATCTGATGTGCAATTGTTTACATTCCTATGAAACAATGTTCTTTATCAGCAATTTTCGGGTGTTTTAGATAATAGCTCATCATGAAAGAATCCATAGTTTGAAACAATCACTAAACAATTGCAGGTTTAACATGAAGCAGTTTAAACTTAGGAGGACTAAAATGCTTCAGAATCTCGGCACAGGACGGTAAATCATTTGGAGAGTCTGCCACTTGGTTCCTAGCCGAATAGTGTGTATTACATCATTTATGGGAAGAAAAAAACACACAAAAAGTGCTGAAAGGTTTGGAGTTCTTGAAAGATGTAAACCAAACGGATGAAGATGGATTATCGATAGTGGTTAGCAGAGGATATCCTAATCCTACCTCAGACTGTCTGTCACCGAAAGATAGAAACTTATCAATACTTCCAAACTATTCACTTCGTTTTATTCGATGTGTTGTGTTTTCCGTAAATTGTGTATAAAACTATCAGTAAACAATTCAGAACGGCGTTCTTGTAACAGATTTCAAGTCTAAAGACCAAATTTTATAGCAATCACCAGATCATAGCATGATTGTTAAAATATTTCATACTGAAAAGGTGCTTCTAAGTAGTTAAGTGATTTCGTTTTAAAAAGATAGGGAGTAGAAATAAAAGTGAATTAAATGGTCAGCATATGTACATCTAAACTGATATGTTCCTAGACGGGTCAAAGAGTTCAGAAACGGTGTTAAACATCGGAAACTTTATCAAGGAGATATAACAGAAGGCGAAACAATTGCCGTTTCTTTTCAAAGACATGCGCATAAATCAAGGAAGTTGACACATAACAAGAAAAGCCTGCAACATATACAGACCAAAAAAATCCGATAATGTTTTTATAATGATTATGTGTTTGATGCTATTGGTACACGATATAGAGGTGGGCTGTCAGTTAATATGGCTTTACAAAGAAATACTTTCCGAGCGGAATTTCTTGTATGACTGAAGCAGCCAATGTATGCCTTGTTCGCGACAACGTTATGTGTCTTAATTAGAATTTACAGTGGAAAAACGAACTTGCTGGTCAAGAAATAAAGATATGGGTCAAAGAAGACATTAGATTTGTACTTCAGAGGTTAGAAAAATCCAGATTAGTATAGATGATCTTTGTAAATCGTCTTCTACTATAGGTACACCGTTGTCAGCTATGACTTTAATTTTCACATCATGACGTTTCTGGAACATAGCAGACACGTTCTTATTTCGCGAGTTCGGCAATTCATAACTTCTCTCTTCGTTTTGAAAAATCAATATCATGATATGAATGTTTTAAAACCTGTCGGTACTGAAGCATACGAGTTAGATTTTGTTTGTTCATATTTAAAAAAAAGTCTGATAAATTACCGGGTATAATGATGATGAATCAGTTGCACGTCATTTAATCTATAAATAGTTGTCCCTGATTGTGTTCGAAAAAAAATACAGCAATTCTCTTTTTCTATAACAAGGGTTTATTTTATGACATCTTTATATTGAACCAAATTCATTTCAAATTCAAGTTATTAATGGTGAAAGTAAACATATCAGCGCAGATAGAACTGATAAGAGAGATTGAATAGTTAATTTTCTTTTTCGATATAGAGGGAAAATTGGAGTTTTAAGTTTACAAAGAAGTTTGAGAGCGGGTTTGTGACACTGAAAAGAACCATTCAGCAATAATGTACTTAAAATGCTCCGCGTGTAAATATTATCTATCGGGGTTAAACGGGAAGTCTCTTACAGATTTGACACTTGTGTTAATTCGTCATTTATTTATCTTTCACAAAATAAAAACACAACCAGTCCCAAGGAAAATGTTTTGCTAAGATATTTCTATGCATTTCTAAGCGATTATACTGCCCCCACTTACGTGACTGTGAAGGTTATGAAGAGAAATATTGTTTATGCCTTATCCTTTTCATGTAGCAGTCCATTCAATTTTGTTCCCTATGCACTGAATTGGGATGAAAATCTCAGATTATCAAAGGTTCGCAACAGCCATACCCTTAAACTCCACGCCCCCAAGTTTAATTTTTCAAAAGAATTATTCTGACCACTTCACACGTCTGATAATCCAAAATTTGAATTTTGTAGAGTCATTGCGGGTAGACTTGGGGCAACATGGAGCCGCTAACAGATTCATAAAATGTCTAGCAGATACAGAAAACCAAAGGGCTAGGTGGTCTGCATTGTTGATTTAGTCCGGAAAAGACTCTTCCATCCGATAAAAGTGAAAAATCATGACGCCTGCCCGCTCTTTCTCGTATTGACACGGGGAGATAGAAGTGCTTATTTATGAGCGAGGATTGCATCCTCTAAATTCCCCTCGCCGTAAATCTAGACCTGATTCTACTATATTGATGTACGTGTAAATCCACGGCCTTCGTGTGAAAACATTTTCAATAACTTATCTTCTTCTCCGTAATCTTTGGTTCTTTATTCAATGCATCCAATCTCGTATTTTATGATGAGCTTTTAATTTCAACATTTGGATGTGTCAATAAACAAATAAAACGAAAGCTTTATGATAATCTTTAAGATTATGGAGATAAGGCATATTTGAATCGGACTTTCAGACCCCACAAATACGCATTCCATGTGTTATAATCCCAAGCCAGCTGGGATTATTGACAGCCAAACCCGTTATTCTAACGGATTGACTTCTAGTCCTAATCCCTTCTCAGTCACTAATTAGTAAATGGGTCATATTTAAAGTTGCCAGTTAGGCTCCAAGAAGAGACAGGGTGGCGTGACTCGCAATTTTTAGATTTTGAAGTTTTGACAGCAATGAATTTAAGGTCTTTTAACAATTTTTGGTTTTTTGCAAAGTCAAAGGTTTCGACTTAATGAGAGACTACAAAGATATGCACAGATTTGATTGACAATCTTAAACGACGCAGGTTATTTTTTGATAATTAATGGAAGACTTTTTACATCAGTTAAACGTTTAAGTAAAGGCAGGTTTATATCACTTACAAAAAATTCTTTTTAATCAGTGTTGACCCTCGTGTTCTTTGACCTTGCTTAAAAGCTTCATTTCAAGTTCCTGCATAAAACCGATTTATCCTTTCGGAAAAGATTTACTAGGAGGTTTATAGACGATATGCACACATTCATCATCCTCGATGACCTCCAAAACTCAGACGTAAATTATCAGCAAGAAGAAATGTTCAAAAAGTTTTCTTTTTTCTTCAAAATTTTCTTTTAAAGTCATAAAAAAATAATGACTTCCCTTTAGCTGAAAGTATATATCTGATTCAAAATGAATTAATTATATATGTTATTGGAACATTTTTCAGATTATTTGCGTATGGACTGTGTAGTTATAGCTCATTAAACTGCTTAATGGCCTCAGCCACCGAATTTGACAGGTGTCCGTGCATTAACGCTCCATCCATCAATTCTATCAGATTTACAAAGTTTATGGTTATTGAAAAGTTAATAAAATGTTATTAATTAGCTGAATATCGACATTTAAAGTATATGTTTTTTATTGGACAGGTTTTGTGTTTTGTCGCAGTGGGAGTACATTTGCCGATACGGCATGTTCAGTGTAGTGAATTTTATTTCCTACATTAGAAAGGCTTTTATAGGTATGCAATGCCCCGGTAAAAATATTCCTTAATTTCCATATCTAAATGATCACTGAAATGGTTCAGGTCTTTTATTTCAGATGAATTAAAGAGATGTTTATCGTAAAAAGGTAGGATTTCAGGTGTTTCTGTATCATTGTAAAAACTCAATAAAAATGCATGTCATCGCCTACTTAAAACATGTAAATCTTTGGTGTAAAATGTAGAATGCATTACTTTAAAGTGATACGTCCATCAGCACTCATCGATATCAGATATTTTTGCTATTTCTTAAAGAATAGTAATCATCGATATCCGATATTTTACTAATTCTTAAACTTTAACTGCACAGTATGCTTACATGACTTGACAGATATATATTGGTTAGAAAATAATTTTCATTCTAAGAGCATGTGCGTTTAAGTTAGTTATGTTTGTCCGAAATGGTTCAGGTACAATTTTGGTTAATGGACATAAGTATAGGTAAATATATTACCTGTCCCCCAAGTAAGGTTAGACACAGGCAGGTATACAGGATTATATCCCTCATATCTGATTCCAAAGTCTCTACACAAGAGGTTCACCGTAATCACATTCTAAAACATTCGCTGGTGGCTATCAGCTGTCCAAGACAAGAAATTCCATGGAAGTAAAAAGTTTAGAACTTGGAAAAAAGTATCCGAAAATGAATCACTCTACATTGTAAAGCACGTGTATAATTGTGAGGTAAATCCGTTCTGTATTTCACTATATGGAGGACGGAGCCGCTCTCTGTTATATTTACTTGAAAAATGTTCCTTCCAGTGAACTTTAATTTTTTACGCACAGGTATACAAACACAGTGAACAGAACACAGCGGGTTTAAATGAAAGAATGGAGATTTAAGCAGTTCTCCTGGTTCAAATATAGCGTGCTATTGCTTTTTCGCCAAATATAAGTATATTATAAATAATAAGAAATCGGGCAACAATTCCAATTCATAACTTGATTGCTGTAGTCCTTCGAGAGAAATGAATGGATGATCGATGGAGTTCGCGAGGTGAAGGGTCAGTGGGCAACCAATCAGAACTTAGTACGGTTTATGGCATTTTTTTCCTTGGACCTCTTTATACATGTATAAAGTCAAGAGCGTTTTGTATACTTAAACGGAGTTTTTAGAATGTTCATGAAATGTTATTTAAACAATACGCGACAACAAACACACACATGAGAGCGGGTGTCAACAATTTGTTTATGCAATTGATAATCGATGTATATAAATTCTCGAGACCTTGAATAATTGAACTTTTGTAGAAATCACACCTTTTGGTACTATTTCACACCAGGCTTTAGTGTTTCTTCAATGTACGGTTTCTATTCGTGTTAGGACACTTACAATTAATTGTTCTCACTATAACTAAATTTAAACCACTTTTTTGTTATCAGTGGAATTTTCTGGGGCGGGGGGGGGGGGGTAAATAAAATACTATTTTAGCTTTATCCAAGTTACTTATATTACGTATTCTCGTGATATTTGCACTTCATCACATAAGCAATTAATTTAGTTGAACAAACATTCCTTTAAGATATTGTAGTTCCTCCAAAAGTTCCAAGTATTCTCAGTGTCCCCAGCCCGAATCCACGTCTTTCCAAAGATCTACTCGCTTGATCCAGCTGCGGTCCGGTAAAATTTTGGCAATCTTTATCAATAATCAAGCAAATGATCCAAAACATAACAATATGTGATGACATTTTGAAATGATCATATTTTATTCATGGACCTGGGACTTACAACATTTTCCGTAATCTATTTTTGGCATCTTCTATAATTCCCCTTGTCTCGCACCTTGCTTTAATACTTCTAGAAAACGGCCGTAATCCTCATTTGGGGACCCGTTGATTGTGACGACACAATGACCGTATATTGGCACTTCAGATTTGGACAAAAGATCGTGGTAAGCAATAGACGACATTAATTAGCACCGATTAGAAAAGACTCGGTTCTGTCTCTCTCTGATAGGAAAAAGTCGATAAACGGTTGCTGGTCAGAAAATTTCAATGAACGTCTACAATAGATATGTCTGATCTAATGATACTCAGGAGTCATTACACTTCAAAAATGTGCGTTGAAAGATGTTATGCAAAATTCTTTGGAATTGAAGTACATTTATAAATTTAAAATTGAATTAAAATAGTACGTCTTCTTGATTAAAATACCTTAGTAAGCACACTTTAAATTTTTTAATGATTTACAAATTTGAAGTCGTCCGTCATCACTCGGTGTTGTAATACGATGACAGACATCGTCAGTAACAACTATCCGGAAACAGTTATATCGTCTGCAACAGCACGCGATGACAAGTGCATATCATGAGTTCATAATCTGCTTTGATAAGAAACAGACGTCACTCAGAAGTAACATGCCCTTCTAACAGCAGCTTTCCCTGGCTAACAGTTAGCTTTAGAACATAAATCACTATACAATAAACTAATTGACATCTTTGTCTTGTTAAAAGGCAAAATCATTTTTGATCTGTAGCTTGTATTTAAAAAAGTCTGGACAGAATAATTAGAGCAACTTATCACTTGGTGTGGTATGACGTTATACAGATGAAAACATTGCAAGTGCGCTTTTCTTCAAGAATATACAAAATTTCAAAAAATCTTCAGTTCCCAGAATCCACAAGCTTTAGAAGAACTTGAGAGAACAAAAATTAAAAAAAATAGAGTTCATCGCACTTTTTTAACACAGGATGGTATATGAAGTAAATATATTATTTACATGCATGTTTGCCTAGAGGTTACAAGTCCATTGCATAAACAACAGGTGATAATGCGTTAATGTCTCCTCCCCGAAACGTCCATCAAGACAAAATGGCAAACTTTATCCAGGTAGACATGATATACAGCGGTCAGACATCTGTACAAGATTATTACAAGGATCGTAAATAACAACATGGGGACATTAAGAGTCCAGATTTATGAACAAAAATAGCCTATACATCTTGAACAGAGAATCAAAATGTGGAAGAAAACGGCTCAGCTCGTCTGTCCCATTGTCGCCAGGGAATGCAAGATCAGTGCGTTTGTGAAAAATCAAAGTCCTAAATGTACTGAATCCACAAGAGGCCTTGTTATTTAAATTTTAGAACCAAACAGTTTCCGATACTATATACAAAGTTCAAAACATTTAACTTTGATCAAATACTCGCTGGTGTTATTCAATATTATGCAGTACATAAAAATATATTGTTGCAAAAGTACCGCCTTCAATGGTAATTCTTAGTATGTCATTTGCAATGAAATTCAACCTGTTCCACGCTTCTTAAACAGATGAGAATAGTTGATGTGTTTCATCATTACGAGTAGAACTAGTAAAATACAGTTTTAATCGTAATGATATTTATGTCTTGAATCTACCTCAACAAACTTGAATTTAGGTATTTGTCACCTTATCAAATAAGTTATTATTTTCTGGCAATGAATCAATGCAATTTTGTTTTATGACCAGACTTACGCCTATATTACATGTAGACTACATTTCTAAGCGAAGGAAACAAAAACTTCCATTTCTGATTTTAAAGCAGACGTCAGTACTATTACTTTGATAATCATAATTAACTAGTATACAGTGTATTAAATTTAATCCTTCACTTCTCATCAATTTCATCTCAATAATTTACATCAAAAACGAATTATTACATACACATACAATATAAGAACTTTAAGAAATAGAAGTGATAAGAGGGGTGCCATTTTTGTTGGAGTCTGAATATCACTTCAGAAACAGACATTTTCACCCATCAATGATTCCATTGACCTACTATGTAGTTGATCTCTTTGATACATAGAACGCCATGGCCATCTTACAAGGTAACATTAAATACAAAAAAATGTCAATTTACTGTAGCATGGAGGAAAATATCTTCGTCTTGTTGACTCTCTCTCATATCATTTTTATATAAGAATAAAGATGGCCTTTTTCACAAATTGCATAATCAAAAATTCGATATACTGTGGAATCATCACTGTTTGTGAGGGACCAATATTCGTGGATTTTATGGGTCAACCTTACCCACGAATTAACATACATTACTTCATTGAGTATGCTGACACACAAGTTACCCACGAAATTAAGTCCCCCTTGAAACAGACCCACCCACCCCCCTCACTTACGAATTAAAAATGATTCCCCAGTATGTTTATAATTTGTCAAATAATCATTGCTATATTATTCTGTAAAAGTTCGTATTGTAAAGTGTTAAGATATTATAAAGTTGCATTTTAAAGGTGTAAATCTTTTGTAATTTAAAAAATAAACCACAAAAAGTACAAAGATAAAATCCTTGTGGTTGGTAATATATTACACTTTAGTTCTAATCAAAGTTTTACACAAATGTAAGTCCGGATAACTCTTTTTTCCCCTGATATCTATGAACTACCCTGGCATAATTGGTTTGAGGTACCCAGATAAGATCTACCTGTCTGCCCCTGTTATGCAGTTGTTTACAGGTTATTCATACAGATCCTCAGTTTCCAATAGGCATACCTTAGTGTGATTTTTAGCGATAGGAATCCAATTGAAAAAGTTCGGAATGCTTCAACACCTAGCCTACCAATCGCCGAGGGATAAAACGGCACAATGCATTTATTACTTTAACTTGATTTACAACATATAGAAGTATTTAAAATATTTGTGAATATCTTAAACTAAATTTTATCGACATCTTTTGTCGCTGGTTCGTGATAAGTGATAAAGAAGATTTTTCCAATCTTTCTTTTTCACATGGTCAGTGGTCCAAATCATCGTAATTATTATGTGTGGGCTTTTTTATTCTTTTTTTCCATTATTTCCTATCATTTAAAGTAAGGGTTATTTTTTAAACGAAGTATTGCACTCATTTGTAATTTTAATAATTAAGCATTTGAAATATTGCAAAAAGTCGATATTTGTCATAAAGATTTATAAGCCCTTTTTAAACTATAGAAGTTTAAATAAAGATAATAACTCCTTGATGAAAATATTTCCTTATTTGTCACCTAATTATTGCAAGTACCTCATGGAAAAGATACAGTAAAATAATCAATAATTAAAAATGAATGAAATCATAAAAGTACAATTACTTGATCTCAATAATTACGTTTATCTCTGGATTTTCCAAAGTACCGTATGTTATATTGCTAAGGTCAATTACTAGGATTATACATGTACTTCATGAAAAAATGGAAGAAAAAGAATTAAGATTGCGTCATCGTCATTTTTAGACTATTTAAACCTCCTGGAAAAGAAGAGTTAGGTGTATAAAACTAAAGGAAATTGCATAATATATTGATGCTGAAACATGTGGGGGGTTTTCCTTTACTAAAGAATATTTTATATAGGTACAGAAAAATATATTTAATATTTTTAAGTGAGTTGTTGGGTAATTTATTCACCATCTACCTATAGTCATGAAAATTTGTAAATTATGCACACTTAATCATTAAAAAGTCATACTCATTATACGTGAATGCAGAAAAGATGATACACAGTATTCCAAAGAAAATGTTAATATAATTGCAAGATTAGAAATGTTTTAGGGCGCCAATTCCGTTCAGTTTTACAGTAACAATAAAAATATTTTATTTTATTTTTTGCCCCCCCCCCCCCGGGGGGGGTATGACTAATTTATATCATTTTTTAATTTGTCTCATAGACAACTCCAGTAGTGTTCAATAAATACATGTAGTAGATGTAGAAGGCATCCATAGAATTTTATTAGGAGTGGGCACGTTTACACGGTTGTATCTGTGCCAGCAAAATTTTAGCTATGCTTCAAATTTTGCACTCATTATGACTAATATCTTTTGCTTCATCTTTCTACATCCATCATATCGGAGTTTTATGAAGCGATAAACATTACATAATTGTAATCGTGATTATTGGCAGGGAATCGTACATAAAGAGGGTGAAGTTTTGGATAGCGCACTGTGAAACAGGTGTCCGAAAGGGCGAGAGAAAAAAATCGGAGTTCCTTGGGGGTTTTCATTTGTCCTGCT